GCTAGTAAATTATGCTTTTGTCTAGTAGTTATCACAGGCTTGAAATGCAATGTGTAGGTGCTGTTGAGCAAGTAAAGTGGGGATGCTGGTGTATACATTTGAGCAATCCTGTTTTTGCGACCACTGGAGATTGTTTAGGATCAGATGAATGACTACGATTGAGTTTGTATTTTGCCTAGTTTAATCAGTTAACCACCCAGCCTTCATCATAAGCCTGTAACTCTTGTTATGAGGGCTGACAATGTGTTTATGAAGGGCAGTAGCTCAGATTGCCGAATAAATGGAGCCCACTCAGCCTCACTCAAGGAATGCATTTCTCGCTTAGGGCTCACATGGATTCAGACTCTCCAAAGATTTTCTTCAACCAAGCTCACTCTGACTATCCAAACTCCCCAACTCCTGCTCAGCTAGGTTCACTCTGACCCTAATTTCGCAAGGTTTCGCTTATATGGGCTCACTCAGGCTTAACCACTCATTGTTTTATTTGGACGGGGCTTACGAACATTCGTCCACGACAATGTGACACACGAACCTTCTAAATGGACTGCACCTACATTACCAATCTATTAGCCTTTGTACTGATTCGAACACATTGACTACTGAAAGGGACACTAAAGTCAAATAACAATTTATGTGACAGTAAAAGTGCAATGTGGGACGTCTAAAACGACAATATTATCAACTGTAGTGCCCTACTTACCGAGATATTAGGGTAAACGAACGAGAACACATGCACTGAAGTGGGACATTTGTAAAATTATCCTGATGATGTCTGAGTTACAGCCTACAATTAATCGCTAGTAATGGAACTAGCTGCACTAAATAAAGAACCTTTCGTGCATCAAGAGACGTAATAAAATGCTGCTTGTTCTTTTCTGTTTGATTCACGGAAAGAACCACCGGACGTTACTATGTGCGAGCCTTTCCGACGCGAGTTCCTTTAAAAGCACTGCCTGACAACACTGCAAAACGCAAAGAGGCAGCCAGCAGCGAGCTCGCATGTATCAATGGGGAAGTTTTGGTGCCGTGAATATTGTGAAATAGACTTGAGCCATCTTATATTTCATGTGCCATAAAAGTAATAGTCCATGATCTGAAAATGTGGTGAACTGCTCAATCTTAGTTGCATTTCTGCAATCTTTTGATGTGCAATATTTTTTAGTAAATGGTCAAAATAAACATTTTCATATTTTGTACTTGCATCTGCTGTCTTCGCACTGGTGTGCAAGATGGGGCTTGCCTTCTCTTGTATCAGGAGCTATAGTGTGATCACATATGCTTTAGAAAAAATGTGGCATCGCGAACAATCAAGTTTAATTATTGCTTGACCAAGCTATAGGCCATACGTGGCTTACAGTAAGCACGAAGCCAATCATAGCGCCTCAGTGGCTGGTAACTGACCGTTGACTAGCGTATTACCGGCCCCAGCTTGACACTAAAGAGTGGCAGGTACCTAGCCATGAGCTAACTTTTACAGGACCTTAAAGGGAGGGGGGTATACAAAAAGGTTAGCCTGTCATCTGCAGCTCTCAAGCAGATCTCATTGGACCTTATGCACATATCGTTTGCTAACCGAACTCATATCTATAGGGCGGTCCAGTCTCAGGAGGTTCAACGGGCGCCTTTGTGGCACCTCGATCAATCACCATCATGTTCAAAACCTCACACATCATGACACCTATTGGCTCTGAGCTCGCCACTCTTTTAGATGCAACTAAATTTGTGATGTGAGAATCCCCTGGTAAGTGTGCTATATTTTGCGGCTCCAAGGTCCCCCTTCAATGTGTGCAAAGTGTACGACGCGGGAACTACCATGAGTTGGTGTCTCAGATCAAGGAAATCAGTCATCGCACCACAAACCAAGAACATGACATAATCTTTCAATGGTTGCCGGATCACTGTGGGATCAGTGGTAACCACTTCGCCGGCAACGCTTCCTGATGAGCTCATGACAGAGTGCCCACACTGCTCATACTCCTGTCAAAGATTGACACTTCAAGAGAACTTCGTCATATCGCGCAAAGTGCCACACTTGTGCATTGGAATCTTCCACTGAACTCCATTTGACGCCCACAGAACCTCGATGCATTACTCCCAACTACAACTGCCATCAAAAACTTCACACATGACGCTACAACGCTGTATCAGTTGTGGGTCGGTGTAGCCTTTGCCAACTCATTCAGTTATCGCATCGGTACGGCTTACTGCCCCAGCTGTGATAAGTGCAATTGAATAATTGAGAAGCATTATCCGCTTTATCTCGCGGACACTGGTGGGTAGTTGTAGGAGGGCCGCAAGGAAAGCTTACCAGGGAGTGCCAAGCTTACAACTGACACTGACACGAATCACTCACCGGTGCGTGCTGACTGGAACCCTGGTAAGTCCAAAGGGATTAGTCGAAGTTGGGAATAGACCATGAGAAATTTGACGCAAGGGCCGTCAGGCAGTATTAAGGAGAGACCCCTAATTTCTCCCTATTTTACTGAGACACCTGCTCCTCTTATGCTGGGTATTCATACTGCCGATACTGGAGCAAGGTACCTGTACTGTACCGTTGGAAATACCACCCAGCATGTATGTTGGAAATACTACCTAAGATCAAAGAATCCACTGCTCCTAGCTAATCAGCACATTGTAAGATTATTAAGAACAGCATTATGTTTTCTTCCTTGCACTTATTATTAAGCCATGCCAAGACAAGGGATCACGCTGTAGCTTGTGGTGAGTGCAACTGCCATATTTGCATCGCTTTTCTCATGGTTTAAAAAACGGTTCCAGTGGATATCAGGTTGACATGGTTTTTTTCTGCCCCTCAAAAACTTGGAAGGATTTGTGCTCTGATCATCAAGAAAATCTAGGTCATCTCTAAATTCCGGGTGTAAAAGTGAACATGTGATTGAGTTTGTGCCTTGAGAGTTATTACATGTGAAGCAGCTCTTTGGCTAGCTTGTGGAACGCTGGCCTTCCATGCATGCGTACTAACGCGCTCTCCTCGCCGCAGGTGTTGGAGCGGTGCCAAGTAAGTCGCGCCGCAGCTGCGCGTTGACGTCGCGCTCCCTTTGCAATGCGCGCTCGCCACAGCGCCCGCAGCTGCCGCCTCATCCCTTCGCCCGCAACACCTACCGCGACCGCCGCTCGCTATACCGCCGACTCGTCGGTTCACTCGCAATAAACCTGAAGTGCCAGGCATCGCAAGATCTACTCCAGCCACCGCTTCAAACGAATCTTCCAACGCCACCGCAGCACCCGCGTTCGCGCTGTTCAACCCGTGACGCCACCAGTGCACGCAACGCTGCTGCTTCGCATCCCATCAGGGTTCTCTTTGGGAAGATAGTGTGAATTTTATATAGCTTGCGAACTATGTATAGCTTGTTACACACACCCTATAGGATGTGTGTAACATGATATCTTTATCGTGTGGCAAATTATACGTCCGTCAGAACGAGAGCTGCGTCAACACCAGGCTACAAAAGCGCCGTTGCTTGCTCCCCTCTAATGCCACCGCCTATCATTTGGCCAATCATTGTCTTCCGTGTGCATGCAATTATCATTTTTGTTGATACCTCTTTTTTTTTCACATCACAACAGAATATCAAGATGAATAATTGAAGTCTTTCGCATCACCAGATTAAAAGATAAACGCGTCAGCGAAGCATCTGTAACCCTCAGCAGAAAAGAACTTGGCTGATATCAAGTAGACGCGGTTTGCTTTACACCCTCTATGACAGTTTTTTCCCCCCCCTGAAGATGCTGGCGGAATATAAAGGGCCTTTCCTTCAATAAATATCACAGGATATCCACGCAGTGAATAATGATGAGTGGCGTTAAGCTTCGGAGGGTTTATCGGCAAACCGGAAATCGTCCGTCTGTCCGCACCTACTGAGTGAGTCATCGAACTAGGCGGTCATGTATACCACGAGCTAGGAGGGACATACCCACGGCTTTAGGAGCTTTGCCCCTAAAAAGGTTTAGTTGTGAGTGCAGCGCATGTCCCGTCTTCATCTTGTCATTTTTATTCGTTACCACGCTGCCCTGATACATCACTCTAGACAGCGCCATTACGCATTGCAGTCCAGATGTTCACAAAGCTAAAATAGCGTCGTCGATAACACAAACAGGTAGCCGTTCGCAAATGAAGGCTTTGTATACTTAACAGAATAATGTACAGCGACCAGCAGTTCTCAAACGTTATAAGCAGTACAAGGTATAGTTGTGGCCGCCCTCTTTTGCCCCACACCTATAAGCGCTCAGGCCGCTGAGCTGTCAAGCATTCACAGGTGACGGAAAGAGTACGTACAGCAATGAGTCTAGATTGTCGCGCTTTGTTCACCAAGAACAGAACTCGAGCAAACACAGAAACTATCGATTACTGTCATTGCGAGAGCAGCGTATTAAAAGGTCCACTGATGAGTGATTTGCTTATCCGTCTTCAGGTCGTTCTTCTGACTGCATCAATTCGCTTCCTTGAATACAAGTGGTGCCGGCTCGCTGTACTCAAATTAACGTAATGTATTTAACCTCATGTAGTAACGTCATGTGTGTTTCCAAACAAACGTGGTTTGATGTTAGCGCTCATGTCGTCTACGCCTCTTTCCTTTGTCTCCGTTTTTTTGGCGCTGTCGTGTATTCGTCGCATGAAAATCAAATTATACCGCAACTGAAACTGCGCCTGCGTTGCACGCTGCTTATTATCCAGCGTACAGGCAAAACGTAAATATAGCGCTTTGAATTTTCGCCGCCTATCTATGTCTTTGAGATAGACAAAAAGCAATGCGAGAAAAAGAATAAGAATTGTCACAACAGTACGCATCTCACATTTCGAGTTTTCATGCCTTATAGTTCGTCCAAGGAAGCATAGCCACGAAAGATAGCTACAGGCTGACAGGACAAAGCCGTGGCGAACGGGACGAGAGTTGCACGTAATCTACGCTGATAGACACATGGGCATGGGTGAACCTTTCCGGTTCGTGGCGTGTATCTGTATCTCTCTTTCGATTGTGCGTTCTCCCTGTCGCGCGTTCGGCGCGGAGATAGCGGCGCACCGTCGATCAACGTCGCGACTACACTTCGATTCGTTTTCCTGCGGAAGCGTAGCGAAGAACCTGGCGAACGTCGCCCGAGTCCAGGACGCGGGCGCCACAGGTGAGAAGGGCGCTTGTCGACCAGCTTCACCAGCAGCGGCGGCAGCTTGTTCAACCGTTTAGTGAGGCAGGCCCGCCCTGCCGGCATCATCGGTCGACATGGATGTGACTATGATTTGTGCCGGCGTCGGCTGGGTGCCGGCGATGGTGACCGTCACCCTGATCGGTGCCTCCCTGATGGCGTACATCTGGGCGGCTCTCACGGGAGCGGTGACCGTTTACGCGCCGTACATCAGGTGAGTGAGGCGAATGGCTGCACGCTCTCCTCGCCCGGTATTTGCGTTCGTTTGTGCAACCTGTGAGCCGATTGTGAAGGCGGACCGCGGGCAGTGACTAATCAGTTGCTGTGTGAAAGCTGGCACCCCGTTGACGTCACAAGGGTAAAACAGAAAAGTGCGCTACGTCTTTTCGGAGCGTGGTAGTCTTTACGAATGGCACCGCTTATGATCCCCCCCCCCCCCTTTTTTTTATGCATGAGGGATTAAGCGTGGCTGTGAAGATGGAATAGGGTGTGCCGAATCATTAAGGTTCAGAAGTGTGAAATGTCGATGGGCGATAACTATACCGACGAATGAAACCGCGTGGTAGTGTGCGTTGCACTGGTTGAAATCAGTGCGTAACAATAGAACTCACGAGCAGGAAGTGACGTTTGCGTATTTACGTGTACGATTCTCCCGTATCTTCGTGAATAGCTAATGCAGTCCTATACAATAATTTTATACACTTACGTAACACGGATTCTTTAGCATACAGAACAGTGATATGTTTAAATGCACATTCTGGCCGTCAAGTAGCAAAGCTTATCTGGGTTAATCAGAAGGAAAGACTGTAAAAAAACGCGCACTCTTCTCGGTGTACTTTGTTAATATTATTATTATTATTATTTGGACAGCTTGCAGTGAAGAGCGTTGTATATAGTTATGAAAATGATCAGTCTAGCAATTATACGACTGTTTCACAACGCCGACGATCTGCAAAACGCATTTATATATACGCACGTGTCTGTTATAATTAAAACGGTCTTGAGACGCTTGGCCTTCATTCAAGCATCACACACGCACACACTTCCGCGGCTGCATGTTTGCTGTCTCTTCAGTTTTATGCGTAAGTGCGATCATTTCGAGTTTAGAAACATACAAAAAGAACTCTCTGTATCTGCCCAATGATACGCTCACGAAGGCGGGACCATTCGGAAGACGCATGTAGTAAAACATCGAAAAGAAACAGTCTTCACTGGTTTATACGCATCTTAACTCACAGAACACGAACGACAGTGGAGTACTTCTGCAGGGAAGAACATCTCCGTGTGTATATTCGTGAGGAAAAGAAAAATATTATTTCAATGTGTGCAAAGTCGAGTACGAAGGAGAAAAAGCTTCCAATTGAAAATAATGACGTGGCTTCCGCAATGGCTCGCGCCTTTGGTACCCGGCTTTCTAAGGGTACAGATGGGGTAGTGAACTGTCCTTCGAATATAACCATCAGTGGTCCACGGCAGTCACTGTCACTAGAAACCTGCAAGACCGTCAAGCTAAGCACAAAACAATCACTGGACGTCTGGCGTAGCTAAGGCACGTGCAAGACTTAGCGTCCCCCATAGCTGGTAGAGCTTCTTTTTTTTTATTTTCGCCGATTTGGAGGTTGAACTTTAATGAGGAGACAATCAGATTGCGGCAGCCTTAGTGACACTTCGCGAAATAAATTAAAGAGGATTTTGAGAGCTCTTCGTTTCGATACCCCCTAATGAAAAATAAGCGCTAATGAAGTCAATGAAATAATATTAATTGCTGGGGCTTAACGTTCCAAAACCACGATATGATTACGAGAGACGTAGTGGAGTGCTTCGGAAATTTCGACCACCAGAGGGTCTATAACGGGCTCTTAAATCTAAGTACACGGGCATCACACATCATAAGCCAACTTTATTGTAGTAATTGTGGTACACAAGTGAACAAAATAAAGTGGAAGAAAAAATACTTTGCCGCCTGCTGGAACCTAACTTGCAACCTTCGGATAACGCGGCCGATTGATGCCCAACATCATTTGAGCTATACGATGGCGGTGATCCTCACGTCCACTGTATGAGGTGTTTTACAAGCATGGAAACCATGACAGCGTTAGTCTGCGCTGCTCGTAGCCGTGACGGTAAGTCTGGTACCCTCTTTGTTTTGCCAGCTAGCGTCATGTAGCGCGCGACCGTTTCAACGAGCGGACAGCTGACCAATGAGCTTTCGCATACTACTTGAAGGCGTCAAGTCTGCAAATCGGAACGAGACCATCGCTATGAATGAATTGTAATAATGACGCAATCATTTCAAGGCGATCCACAAGTTTCCACACCAAGCATGTGTAATTCATGGACTTTCTCGTGAACAAGCGACGCTGTTGTATACCGCATAAGAACCGGCTCCGCATACACCCCGGCCTGGTCATTCAAGACTGGGAGATACGCTTCCCCGTTCTGTGCCTTCTGTGGTGACATCGGGGATATTACATTTCATTTGGCTTTGCCCACAGTTTGATGTGCAAAGAGCAGCAATGATCCGCACCTTGTTAAAAGGCTGTCATATAGGCACCGGACAGCTGATGACGTCATTTTTCCGGAAGGACCCGCGGCAACTAGGAGGAACATGCAACGAATTTTGTTGGTCTTTCTGCGAGACACTGGGCTGTCTGACACGTGGTGACATTTTCCAAACTCAGGAGATGCTCAGGCGGAACAATTGCCGGCCATGCAGGCCAGGCTAACCTCGCCTGCTGCAACACCACCCGTCTCATTTCTTTGTCTTCATAACCTTAATGGAAACCAACAACTAATGAATGCAAGGAAGGTTTCAGGGACGTTAATTGTCAAATTTCTAACTACACTAGCAAAACCACTTTAGGCGTAGAAACATTTCAGGACGAAGCGTAGAAAATCCATTACATTGGCTCAGGAAAAAAAAAAAAAACGAAATGGCTGTCGTTTTTGAGCCGTCTAATACATGCAAATGCGTACGAAACCCTGTCAGTTTTTTTATTTATTATGATTTTATACGCTTGGCCAAACGACCCAAGGCTAGCAAGCCATGGATAAATGAAATGAGTAACAGCAATATAAACACAACACTGGGGCAGCGTGTTGACAAAACGAGGAACACACATATCACGGTCAGGTTTATCGAAGCGAGTGTTTGCTGCGTGTTTTAGTCTCTTCCGTTCTGTTACTGCTTGTTTATGAAAGGTTAAACACTGCTAGTGTTTCTAGCCGCCCATATTCCCGCCCATTTCCGCTCCAGCGAATACAAAAACGATAAAAACTGAGAACGACGACATAAGAAAATAAAGGTTTTCGCTAGAAGTAAGATCAAATTAGCTCGCACACTCTCGGAAGCCTTTCGTTACCAATCTGGTAGGTGATATGCGCATCAGCACCGCTTCATGCAGTCTTCCTGTATCGAATATTTGATATAGCTAAATAGGCAATAACAAACACTTCACTGTCGTTAAAGGTGTACACTAAAGAGAGAAAAAAAGAATTTTTCTCTAATATAGTAATAAAAAGTAATTACAAAATCACCAGGCTTTCTGCGACAGGACGCTTGATAAGCGAGAAAACGCTCAAAAATAAATTAGATGTGAGCACCTTGAAATTCTTGCCGTGCCGTGATAGATTTTGACGGCAGCTGCTAAGGCCTACTGCGTTTCTAATCGAATCAAAATGGAGTACATTCTCCTCCGTGGGTAACATAGTCTTAAAACACGAATTTTTAGTAGATTTTCTAAGCCAACGTTGCCAAAGTACGAAAAATACGTTTTAAAATTCGTGACGTCACGCGTGGAGATTTTAGCGTTAAGTTTAAAAATGAAACCTTGAATTTGATTTTCTCCCGTAATAATGAATCTATAGGGGTGAAATGAATGACCTTAAATTAGTCAGAGTATAATATATTAACGCAAACTGGTTCATCGTTTCACTTTTATCAGCATCAGCCTGACCGCACCCACTGCAGAGCAAAGGTCTTTCCCATAATTCGCCAATCAACCCTATCTTGTGCTTTCCGTTGCCTCGTTACACCTGCGAACTTTTTAATCTCATCGGCCCACCGAAATTTCTGTCTCTCCTTCGTGCGTTTGGCTTCTCTGGGAATCCAGTCAGTTACCATTAAAGACCAGTGGTTATCCTGCCTACGTGCTACATGCCCAGCCCATGTCCATTTTTTCTTCTTGATTTCAACTATAATATCCTTAACCCTGGTTTGTTCCCTGATCTACTCTGCTCTCTTTTTGTCTCTTCAGGTTACACCTATCATTTTTGTTTCCATCGCTCACTGTGTCGTCCTCAATTTAAACTAAACCCTCTTAGCAAGTCCCCAGGTTTCTGCACCGTAGTTATGTACCGGCAAGATGCAGCTGTTATACACTTTCCTCTTGGGGGTTAGTGGCAGATAACCATTCATGATTTGAAGGCAAATGTGATCCACCCCGTCCTTATTCTTCTGCAATCTCGTGATCCGGCCCCGCGGTGTCATTTAGTGTCAATTTCATCTTCTGCCATCAATGTTTATGTGTCCAGGATATTCAATTCTTTCGAGGAACCCTCCACTACGGCGTCTCTCCTAATCATGTTGTGGTTTTGGGACGTTAAACCCCACAAAACAAAAACAATTCTTTCGAGGGTAGTGAGTGTAGGTTTCGATAAATCTATAGTTAGAGTGCATCGTCCGTCTTGTAAAGTCTTTCTGTGTTGTAGTTTGAAACTTATCGTTAGTTAAATTTCTTAATGGAAAAAACTATGCGTCACCAACTGCGCAACTGGCCCCGAAACGTGCATTTAGTTTAGTGTGTCAGGTTGTGGTGTAGTGCAACGCTAATGTGTATGATGTCGCATGGCGTGCTCATGGTGACTGGTACTCATTCACAGTTGATATATAGCAAGTTCTTTAGCCGGGGCCGAGAAAAGGAGCCGGGTCCGTTGAAATTATCTTTGGAAGTGAAGTGGCTTGATATCTTTACCTTTCATTTGTCGACAGAGATGATGATCGTGCCGGGAACGCTTCGAGTAGAAGAGTCCAGTGGCTTATCTTTTTGTACGTTGAAAGCTTGTGAAGGCTGTCGTCACAGTACGGGTCCAAATATGCGTTTCTTAGGGTGGGTTTTTAGGGGCGGTAAAAAAAAAGGCCATTCTAAACAAGTGATTGGATCACATATTCTCACGGGGTCGTGCTCATGACTTTAACGAAGGCAGCACTCGGTGTGTCCATGGTGAAACTCTTCATTTGGCCGTACTTGTAGCTGGGAAACGGAAACTGAAAATTACAGCAATCAGCGCACGCTGGTGATTTTCAGACAATGTAGAATGCTCCCAGACATACTGGCACGATTGGTGTAGGGAAGAATTCACACGGGCAATGAGACGGTAATATAAAATAAAACGCAAAAAGAAAGAGGCATGATTGGCAATATACATCGCATCGGTTCGTTCACTTTTTCTTGGCTTTGTTGCGTGGTCGTTTGTTTTGCTGGTTGATCCGGTTCGCATGGGACAAAGCTTCGTGTCCAACCATCTTTCCTCAATGAATGGGCCTCTTCTGTTTTTTGTATAAATTTACACTCCGTGGTTAAAAGTAGGAGAATAAAAAATTGGCCCCGCATCTGCTTGTATTCTGTAAATGTAGTCGAAAGGCGATAGTCCTGCGTGTGGAGAGAGTGAACAAAACAATTATTTGATGTTTTGCGCAAGAAAATTGGTGAACGGTATTCCAGAGGCACTGCGTTGGAATGTCTCGAGCGTGTAGCGGAGGCGAACGAGCGCATCAAGTCACGTCACACGTGAGACTGGCAGTTTCTTTTGGAAAACAGCGCGTGGGCGTGCGTGCCCGTCTCAGAGGTGATAAGGTGTAGAACACGAGGCGACGGGTAGGTGCCACCACCATCTCGTCTTAGCAAAGCGTTGGAAACACTCCCCGTTCCGTGCAAGCGTTGCATGGTAAGCGCAGCGTGATAAGCGCTACGGTCCTTAAAATTACTTATGTATGCGTTTTCTAGTAAGAGATGCATATGCAGAATATATGCGTGTTGTTATAGTGCCCAGACATGCGCAATAATTGCTTCTTAATTGACAATTGCACAAGCATGAACGCTCAACCTTGAGCAACATTGGTAGTCGCTGCGGATGGGGTCGGCCATTTCAAGTACCCGATGCCGGTAAGAGTGGACAGACAAATGTACAGACAGGTAGATCAAAATTTTTGAGTCGAAGGTCCCCAAGAAAGACTATCGTCTTTAAAATTTACACTCAATGGTTAGAAAAAAGGACGAGAAGAAAAAAAAACAGAAAAAGAAACTGAAATCTCGTGCGAATACTGAGCCTGCTTTTAGTGTAATAGTGTTAGTGCTTCGTGAGGTTGAAGGTGATGACACCATACTCGGATGACTTTCTCAGACAGTGTATCAAACGGGTTTATTATACTATGACAAGAATATTTTCTTGCCCCCCACCGCTGTGGTCTAGTGGCTAAGGTACTCGGCTGTTGACCCGCGGGTCGCGGGATCAAGTCCCGGTGGCGGCGGCTGCATTTTCCATGAAGTCGAAAGTGCTGCTGGCCCGTGTGCTCAGATTTGGGTGCATGGGTTAGAAATTTCCGGAGCACTCCACTACGGCGTTTCTCATAATCGTATGGTGGTTTTGAGACATTAAACCCCACATATCAAATCAATATTTTCTTGCCGCTCATTGACGTATTGAGTGAAGCAAGCTTTTCTGTTCCCGGCTATTTTCGCAAACGAGTTGTAACTGATGAGCAGTAGCGGGGAGTTGACTTGTGCAATGATTTCTTCGGTGATGTGATCACGTGTGTGTTTTTCCGAGGTGTGTGTGAGACCAGAGCATGGTTTGTTTCAGCGAAGCCGGTGCCTCACCGCCACAAAGCGGAGTGTTCAGCCTGCTCCTTTACTTCGGATCTCTCTTGGGTAAGTACGGGGCAACGCACTTTCAAGGCCTATTGTGGCTGATTACCTATGTCTCTGATGCAATCCCGTTTAGGTACGATACAGGTTTAGTCATTAAAATCACGCGGTCAACGAGCGGCAATGACTGGACGTAAACAAATAGTGAGCTGAGTACAATGTAACTAAAACCATTGCGCAACAGAAAACTAAGTAACTAACTAACTAACTAACTACCTAACTAACTAACTAACTAACTAACTAACTAACTAACTAACTAACTAACTAACCAACACTGACCTGTGTTACTTTTGTTAGATAGTGATTACATTTTAATTTTTCTATTCAGTTATTTGCAATGCAGCCTCGCCGCGGTGGACTATAGTGGCTAAGGTACTCGGCTCCTGACCCGCACGTCGCGGGATCGAATCCCGGCTGCGGCGGCTGCATTTCCGGTGGAGGCGGAAATGTTGTAGGCCAGTGTGCTCGGATTAGGGCGCATGTTAAAAAAAACCCAGGTGGTCAAAATGTCTGGAGCCCTCCACTACGGCGTCTGTCATTATCAAGTGGTGGTTTTGGGACGTTAAACCCCACAAATATATCTATCTTATTTGCAATGCAATTGCGTACTATCAATGATAGTGTGATGTCCTTTACAAAACGTTCGCCTGAACCGGTCGGTTATGAGAACGCTTCCATAGATGTACGCATATGCAGGACAGAAAGGACAAGGGAACGTTGAACCTGTTGTTAACGTACACAACGGCATGTGCCCTTTGTCTTCGATATACGATAAACACGGTCGTATTTCGCAAGGATGGAGCACAGCAGCAGTTTGCCATGAGCTCCGGTAGGAAAGGCTTGTGTTGTGATGCTGGACGTATATTGTTATCGCTCCGAGTCATCTGCTTATCTTTCACTGCACTCTTGCATCGTGCGACAGTTTGCTGCATCGGAAAGGCCACATTGCTTGTCTGTGCGCTTTCAACAAATAATAATAAAAAAAACTGAGTGTGTATAGGAGACGCGTTCGTTGAAAACGGCATGCTAAAAAGTAAAAATGCATGTTAAGAAGGCTTTCCCGGCCGGATCACGCCGGTGTTTGCATGTCTATACCTCTCTAATGAAAAAAAAAAAATCACCGCCCAAGCACTTCGTACAAATGATTAACCAGCGAAAGCTGAAACGTGCGGCACCAATGTTTAGCAGTGGGTTCAGCCTGACGTGGCACTGAAGCCTTCCACCATGAACGATCATATATTTGTGCTTCTTCGCGAGCTAACTCGGAGGCGTGGTTTGCAGGTTCAGCCGTCACCAGCGCTTGCATTACCATTCGCTATTTAGCGCGGTTTTTAAGGCTGCCAGATCATCGGTACGCAGCTGCTGCCGGCACTCGGCCTCCCGGGCCTACATTTTTTTTTTTTTTTGCCCGAACTGCACCATCGGCCCGGCGAATGCAGGCTCTCTCACGTTTCCACTGTCAGCGCTCTTTTAGAGTTGTCCGTGCCATACCCATGCATCTGGAAGGTTTCGGGAGAAACTGACGCACGCGCTCTCGGCATCGCGGCTGCGACGGGATGAAGACGTCACTCACAACGCAGCCAATGTCGCATCTGCTTGGGTGTGACGCTACGAACGACGTAATAATATCACAGCCAATTGAGACCGCTCGTGACACCGCTGCCGAACGGTTTCCTTTTTTTTTTGTTTTTTCTAGCTATATAGATATCTCACCGTAAAACAAAATAACCACCTGGAAAAACATTTTCTTTGTCTTCGTTTTTGCACCAATGAGACGCTAAAGTTGAATTATTTGGTTGCAAATAACGTGCTTTATTATTCACCAAGCACTATAATATGAAAAGAACGCTGGGAGCTACATCAATGAGGCTCCTAGAAAAAGTATTTGCCTAGGAGGCGTTGGACACTAAAAAGCGATATGCTTGAAATTTCTTGCGCGATACGCAATACGCTAGAGCTTCGGATGTAGAGGTCTTACGGATCACGTATCAAGGCTAGGCTGTCAATTACGTTTGCTTTCAAAAGACTAGAAGAGGCAGAATTGCCCGGAGTAGCATGCACTGAGTGGAAGTATTAGTAAAAAAAAAACAAAAGCGACAAGCACCGCACGAAAAAGTGTCGATTTTTATCACTTAAGCTTCTTGCTCCAGCAGCTACAGCTGTAAACACAGGCGCGTGCACTCACTCACTCACTCACTCACTCACTCACTCTCTCTCTCTCCCTCTCTCTCTCTCATTTTACGGAATAAGTAAGCACCTTCAATGGATCCGTAGTGTGTGCATGCGTGCACGCGCCCCTATGCGTCCTTAAACGCAGCTCCCGGAGCAAACTTACACGTAAAAATTACCATCACTATTCAAGAGCAGCACTACCAAAGCACATCGTTTCATGCACATTAATGATATTTTTTTTTAATTTAGGCGGGGCGCTCTGCATGTGAGTTTACATACGGTTTATTTGCGATTATGATTATGATTGCGATGGTTCACATTTGCGATTATGATTAAATTTATTATACGCGCAGGTTATAGACTTGAAATGACGATATGGATATGAGTTGCGTGTGAGATATTTTTTTCCATACAGCGGCCGCAGGCGGGCAGTGCTTGTGAAATCCGTTTGTGGCGGCAAGGAGTCCGTCGGAGGACATCCCCAGAGCGACGGGCGTGACATCAAGGTCTGGGTGTGGCAAGAGAGAAACGAGTGATTTCTAGATGCATTTGAAACATAATTGCATACTCCCTGTCACGTGTAGTGCCATAATACTTGGCTGACATGTTCACAGAAGCTTCAGCACATATCGCCAGTGGTTTCTCACCGTGTTCGAAGCGCGCTTCACGGGTCTCTATATGTCTTGATCGAGCTACGCTGGTCAGGTCTTCAAGAGAGAAAGAGGGTTCGCGACCTCCTTGCCTGGTAATCGGCTATATGCCGCAAAATATGCTTGGTGGCAAGTAGAAACAGTCAATGATTTTCTACGTCTCTATCATTCGTATCATTAGCAAACGCTTACGTCCGTAAGCAACAGTGCTCAAAAGCCTTCTGAAGGAGCACAGACGTTCGATAGAGCTTTAGCAGCAGGTGTCAATCGAATGTCGATGTCGGCCGCTCTGAATTGACAACGTTGTCACGAGAAAACAAAAGAAGAGATCGAATGTAACTAGGTATTTGGTGAAGCTTCGTTGCTTGCATTGTTGCGGTAAACAAGCCTTGAGAACAAACTTATCGAACGCGCTGTCGATAGCTGTGCTCATCGATAACATAAGCGTATATAGTCACGCTGTCGCGCTGGCAAGACGCGCGTTTAGAGCGTATACGGCTGGCGTTAAAGGGAAATTAAGGCGACAGATAACTTCACTATCTGAATTACCCCATTTCCTTTCATCGATTATAAAAAAATGGCAGCATATCCACGGAGTGAATGATGGAGAGTGGGGCGAAGCATCCGTCCGTCCATTCGTTCTTGCTTCCGTCCATGCATGCGTGCGTCTGTGTGGCTGCCCGTGCGTCCATCCGCCCAACCGCGCGTGCGTCTGTTCGTGCGTCCACACGAACATCTGTGCGTCCATCCCTGCGTTCGTCCATGCATCCGCCCCTGCGTCCGTACGTGCAGCCATCCGTGCGTCCGTCCATGTATCTGTCTGTGTGTCCGTTCTTCCACCTATTCAACACCCCAAGTACCACCATATCGCATCTTTTCATCATATATTCTCCATATACAGAAGCACCGCCATCCAGCGGACGTTCCAAGAACTAAATGAGAGGTGGCACACGCACACTTTCTTACAGCTTGCGCTTCGTATCTACTTCCCACCTTTAACCACCTCGTGTTCATGGTATATACTAGTTCACTGTATTCATAGCACTGCAGCCCAACTCTAGCTAAGCCTTTTTAAAATCGAGGAGGTTACGCCCAGCGAGTATAACGTAGCAACCCTTACTTGTCAGATAGTACTCAATGTACATGCCAATGGCTCCTAATGGGGAATGAGAGACAGGAGAATTCGCCTTTAGTTAACGCGCATGCTGCGAATTTTTCATTGTTCAACAACGCACAGGCGAAATCTCCCACTGGCACCATCTTGCAGGTCAAAACGTAAGACTGGTTACACGCACTACGACTACGACTACTACGAGGGACGAATGGGTGCCGCTTAAGGAGCTTCGCCCCTAGAAGCCCCCGAAGCAATTAGAAGTCGCACGAAGCGACTACGCGACCGACGGGCAGAAGTGACAAAATGGTTAGCTCTGTTGGCAACGGAAACAAGCGTTTATAGCTCTCAAAAATACCCTTGCATTGCACATAGCTGTAGCACATTCTGGTATGACACTTGTAGTAGGCAATTAAAACACGTGAAAGATAGGACCATGTCTCACTTTTCCAGTCTGTCTCGCATTTTGAGCACGTGCCATCCCAGACGCCACGTATTGTCACGGAGATAGCCAGGCAGAAAAGATGCCGTTAAAGGGGCATTCACACGGGGGACAAACCCTCGGGGGAAAAGCGAGGACCGCGGATCACGCGACAAAGAAGTCGTGGATTACCGAGTAGGCGCGAAACCCGCGTACCCTCCGGGGGCAACGTACACATTTCCACTGACACGACAAACTCCGCCCTCGACAAAAGTGTAGGAGATGATAGGAGGTATTCACGTGAGGCCATCCGCAAGAGGTGCTTGTGCAGCATCCGCTATACTTGTGGTCTCGTGCGCGAACACCACTGTCAGATTACAATCAAAGTTCCCTGCGGCACGTGTTCTGTTGATACTTTTAAATGCGAAGCATTTCTTAGCGAACTTCGGCGACTTTGAGCGTATCTATCTATCTATCTATCTATCTATCTATCTATCTATCTATCTATCTATCTATCTATCTATCTATCTATCTATCTATCTATCTATCTATCTATCTATCTATCTATCTATCTATCCGCCTATGACTTTTAGCTCTCCAGGCCGTTTCGACAATGCTATCGATACCACACTTGGTATCACATAACATG